CTCAATATTTTGCCCCTCAAAACCACAAAGAGGTTGAAGTTCAAGGCACTCACAGCTGGATCCAGACTTGCAAAAACATTCACCATGCAGTGAAACACCCAATGGGCGGTAAATAATGATCTGCTTTGCAAGCAGGGAAGAAGGGGAATCTAGAAGGGTTCTAGGAAGGGGAATCCTAGAAGGGTTCTAGGAAGAGAGGGGCAATTACTTGGGATACTGGCAATATCTCAGGGAAAAAGGCTGGGTGGCAGGGATTCTAGCTGAGCCTTACTCCACACTTGAGCTGAGAGAAGGGCTTCCCTTCACCCCACAGCAGGGAGCTAGAATGTGCATGATGGTCACCAACAGGAATTGAGCCGGCAACATGGGGATTTCCAGAACGTGCACTAAAGCAGTGGGCGGACATACCATGTACCCTCCTCAAGCACCACTCGGATCCCTTACCCCTGCCTGATCTGCTTTCTGCTCCCTGCCCTATCTGCCACTATACTGCTTGTCTCCTCCTTGGCTTGCCGCATGCCACACACAGGTTGGCCACCCTCGCACTAAAGAATGAGCTGTGTTCTGTGAAAGACTGAAATCCTCTGTGCAGGGGGCACTGAGGAGAATATGTCAGACATGCTGACTTACATCTGCTTTTACACGTTTCCCCTGGGGAAACAATTGTCTGCAGTGGGCTGGGGGACCCTGAGGTCTTCACCTCTCCCTACCTGTCTCAATATTACTGGTCAGCAAATATGGCTATCGTGGAGTTATGAGCTGAATTCAAATAGCCTCAGGGATTTGGGAGTTCAAAGTGACTGACTGAGAAGCTGCACGCAGTGAGAGCCGGTTTCCAGCATGAGCGCCTCTCTCTTTCCACGACAGTGCTGCACCCTCTGCTGCTCCTTGGTGGGAAAAGCTCACCAGCTGCAGAAGCAAATAGAGATAGTGGGCAAACAGGCTGTTCATGCCAAAAGGGCTGAACCAGCAAGGAAGGGGCTTGACTTTGATTGCTTAGCAAACAAAAGCAGAGTCCAGGTGGTCTGCCTGGCCATGCAGGAGTCAAGGAATACATGGCAGAGGCAAGATCCTGATGTCAGGCTCTCTGTTTAGATATGTCAGAGGATATGTGATTTTTACAGGCACTGGTAGCCCAAAGGGTGCCACTGCTTAGATAGGGGTTACGCTACAGCTAATAACTGCTATTATTATAGTGGTTCCACTGAAGTCAATGGGGCTGCTTCCATGCTTAGATTTAAGGACAGGCTTAAGTGCTTTATTGGCTTGTAGATGGACACAAATGTTTGCTTTATGCAGTGCTAGACTGCATGGCATCATTACTGCCAGTAACTTTTTGTGTTAATTATTTCATAATTTATATTTCTGTCAGCTATCCAAAAGTACAGACAGTATCTATGGGGCACGACTGAAATATGGACATCTCTGGGGTGGGGGGCCAACACCTACCCATTACACAATATTGCATTGGGTAAGGAAGGGAACTTTTGGCCCCAAAGACCCTAAGGCCAAGCCCTTCTTCTTAGAAGATGGGCAATAGGCACTTTTAGAGACATTCAGAGAAGACAAGAACCCAGTTATTAAAGTCTCTTTGAAGTGATTCACCTCAGGAAGTTGCTTCACACACAAATTATGCATAGGAGAGAGAGTGAATGGACGGTAGGATCAGACCATAAAAATCCATGCTCTGGTTGGTGTGGACATGAAAGAATCTGTGAGGCACTTTTCATAAGATAAGGGTTTCCCCACTGTCCTTGGGCCAAAATTTCGTTCTGTCCCTGCATCCCCCACTATGGATCCCTGTCAGCTTGGGGAAGCTAGACACTGGGATGTTTGGGGAAGACTCATAGCATGGCTCAGGCCACAGGCAAAAATCAATTAATCCCTCTGAGCCTCAGTTTCCCATCAGTGAAAAAATGCATTGTCTGTCTGTCCCATTTGGTTAGACTGCAAGGTCTCTGTCTCTCACTACACCTTTATACAACAAATAGAACAAAGAGACCCTGCTTTTGGCTGCAGCCTTGAGGGGCTACTGTACCATGTCATAGTTTTGAGAAGCTAGGAAGGACTCTTAAATTTGCTGAAATGCATGGGAAGAGAATTGGTTTTAGAAGGATTGCTTTTTTTCTCTGCTTTAGAGAAAAGATAAATGAGAGCTGTTTTATCAGCGTTTGTTCTTCCTAAAGTGAGCCACAGTCTGTGCCCAGGTGGCTGTTTCCCTGCAGTCCAGAGATCAGGGAAGGTCTTTCACATAAACAACACAGGCCAGCTGCCTGGAGCCTCTATTTTATTTTGGAGAGAAAAATAGTCTCATGAGACTCTCAAAAGCTCAGAGAAGCATGTGCCAACCCATTCCTCAGAAAACTTTGTACCCTCACAACAGCTAGTAACAGCCTACCGCTTATGTGGTGAGGAAACAAAGGCAAGCTGGGGAAAGATCCAGGTCAAAAGTTACTAGGCAGCTACTGCAATGTGTGTTATCCAAGATCATATGTTTAGTATTACCATGGTCCCCAGCCAAGATCAGAGCCTTATTGTGCTGAACACTACATAGTGCTTGTCCAGCATCTTCACTTTATAGAAAGAACGAGCAATAGTCCAGCCTCAAAGGACTGCCAATCCAAATAGATGAAAGGGACTGTGGGGACAAAGGCAGAGAGACTTGTTCTTAGACACCTATCAGGCCAGTGACGGGGTCACGAACAAAACCCAGCATTCTTGAGACTTGGTCCAGTTTCCTGTTCACTAGGCATCCTATCTTTTCATTCAGCAACCCACGCACACCCATCAGTGTCTGCTTCTTAGAGTACATCCTCACTGCTGAAATAGAGAGCTGCTAGAGTAGCAGTACTTAACTATTTTAGACTCAAGGCACTCCTCAGTAGACAGAAGAGGCTGCTCAAAAAATACCAGCCCTTAGTTTTCACTCATTTTTTACTATGGAAAAATAGTAGAACAATGTTTCTGTTGCAAAGAACTTAGAAAGAATACAGCCAATTAGAATATTTACAACACTATGGATTCCTATTTGAAATCTCTCAAATTATCTTGCAAATCATGTCTGCACGCTCACTAGTGCTGACATTGTGTAGCACCCTTGAAAGGTTTTCAAGGCACCCCAGGATGCTACAGCACCCTGGTTGAGAATTACTGTGCTAGAAACAAACACACACATAAATCACTTCACTTCTCAGACCTACAGTCCCCAAGTTCATGCAGAGCCCTTTTTGATAGCAGTGGGATCTGCCCATCTGGATCTCATTATAAATTTGAGGCTATAAAGAGTAAAGACACACCTTCATGAGTTACCAGAAGCAGGCTCACAGACTATGCAGATACTATCTTTAGCCCTGACCCTGCAAAAAATTAAACACAAGCTTAACCTAAAGCCCAAGAAGAGTGATATTGATTTCAGCAAACTACTCACCCTCTTAAGCAGCTGTTAAAGACCCAGGTTCTGCACACACACAAATGGCAAAACATGTGCAGGTGCCCAGGCATCCAAGGCATCCTCTCTGTCAGGCTCTCTAGCATCCAAGCAGCTAAATGAGGTTTTTGGCAAATTGCTCATTTGGACTTAGATCACTGGAAAACAGAACCGGGGGAGGAACCTCTGGAGGTCACCTCATCCAACCCCCTGCTCCAGGCAGTATCACCCCTGACTAAACCAGCCCAGACTGTTCAACCTGCTTTTGGTAGACTAAGAGTGGTGTTGTAGCCGTGACAGTCCAGAAATGATGCGAGAGACAACGATTTCTGAGGGGGGACCTCTTTTATTGGCCCAGCTACATCATTGGGATAAAGTTGGACAAACTTTTGAATGAAAGACAGTCTTCCTCAGAGACCTTGTCTGGCATTTCGAAGCTTGCCTAACTTCACCCCAACTGCGGCGTTGGCCCTCAAAAATCCTTGCAACCTGCTCTTGGACCTTTCATGGGCTGGAGACTCACTCTACCATGGCTCTAGCTTGTTTCAGTGCCTCACCACCCTCCTAGTCAGAAAGGTCTGATCAACATACTTGGGGTCGGGAAGGAATTTTACTTCATGGTCAGGCTGGTATGGTCTGCGGGGGGTTTTGCCTGCCTCTGTAGTGGGAGGTGCAGCCCTCTGCCCCAGGTCCCTTAAGCTTATATTGACAGCATTTCATAGAAGCAGGATGTCAGCTGCCCTGGTTCCCTGGCTTTACTTGCGACAGGTTCAGGACTTAAATCCGTGTTGTCAGGATTGACAGTGGACTTACGTAGAGTTTAGATTATGGTTTGCATGGGGTGGTTCGGCTAGGGTTTACCTTGCCTCAGGCAGGGGGTCGGACTAGATCAGCGTTTCTCAACCTGTGGGTCAGGACCCAAAAGTGGGTCTCGAGACTATAAGAAGGGGGCGCAAACAAACTTTAAAAGTGGAGTCTCCATTTAAAAGGAGAAAACCATGGGAAGCCACAGCTTTTCACGCAGGTCCCGCCTGCAAGGGGCTGCCCACATCCCACACATACCCCACACAGTGAGGGCTGGGGGCAGCAGGTCCGGAGCGAGGGGCATTGCATGGGGACTGGTCATCAATGTTTACGAATGGGTCCTGGTACAAAAAAGGCTGGAGAACCACTGCACTAGATGAGTCCTGGGGGTCCCCCTTCCAGCCCTGCTTGTCCACAACTCCCCAACCCCACCTAAAACTCTTCCGCTGCAGCTGGAGGCTACAGCTCCAAGTCCTGTAAGCACCCCTGAGGCAGTGGCAGGCGAGTATCAAACCAACTCCCCCCTCCCCCGCCACTACCCCCACTCCACACCAAAGCACCCCTAGGTCTTCCCGCCGGACCTCATCCTGACCCAGACCCGAGAGCACACGCCCGGCGCCCGAGAGACGCAGGCGCAGTGCCAGAGCCGGGGACATGTGGGAGTTCGGGGCAGCGGCGGCGACCCACATTTCCCAGCATGCCCGGCAGGCGCGGGCGGCGCTGGGACAGGGGGCGGTGCGGGCGGGGCTCTGCTGTGTTGTCAGCTGCTGCGAGAGCTGCAGGGGGCGGGGGAGGCCTTTGGCGTCCAGTCCGGGCCCGGGGGGAGCCGCTTCGGAGCTGCGCGGTGAGTGCGGGCTGGGGGTGCGGGGCTCTCCCCACCCGATCCCCTGCACTGAGCCGAGAGTGGGGCGGGGGGCTGGGGATGCTTCATGGGATCCAGCCCGGGCAAAGCCCCCTTTTCCCGTTCCCAGTCTGTGGCCGGGAGCCACATTGGGTTCCCCTAGATCGGTGGTTCGTAACCTTTTTTGTACCAGGCCCCACTTGTAAGCATTGATGGCCAGTCCTGACCTAGTGTCCCTCACTCCCCACCCCAAAGCCCCCAGTGTGTGGGGCAGGAGGGGCCCCAAGGAGCCCCTGGCAGGCTGGAAAAGCCACGGTTCCCCACATTTTTTCTCCTTTAAAGGAGAACCTGTTTTTAAAGTTTGTTTGCTGCACTTTCATGTATTCTTGCGACCCACGGGTTGAGAAATGCTGCCCTATAGGCCGCCAGCCCGGTTGCAGTATGGGCTTTGGTCTGCCTGGGAGAGAGCAGGGAGATACCGAGAGGTGGACTTGAACCTGTGGCCACAGGGGGAAGGAGCCTTTTTCCCCCACCATGGAACTGGGGCGATGTTTGGGACAATGGAACAACACCCCCTGGACCAGCGGGACAGGAGCTGCCACGAGGCAACAGGTCCCTGGGCTGGCAGGGAAAGGGTTAAGAGTGGGAAGACTCTGAGGAAGGCTTTGGCTGGGAGGAGAGCTGCTGTGGAAGCTGGCTTGGGGGGAGGGGGAGGCTGGAGGGAACATGGGGACACTGGGAGACTTCTTCCTCCCTCCCCTGTTCAAGTGCAGGCTGCCTTGGTGAGCTGATCCCCTGCTACTCTGGGGGTTCCTGCCTGAAAACTCCCCTGGATGTGGGAGGCCTGGATGGGGCTGTGGGAATCCCCAGCCCAGTCCTGGGACAAGAGTTCATGTCTAGTGGGTTTGTGGGACTTTCCTTTGCCAAGCTGCCCTGGAGAGCCCCTGGCACCTCCATCCCACTGGGTTTCACTTCAGCTTTATCTCAGCGTAGAATCATAGAAAATTCAGGTTGGAAGGGACCTCAGGAGGTTATCTAGTTCAGCTTCCTGCTCAAAGCAGGACCATCCCCAACTAGATCATCCCAGCCAAGGCTTTGCCTACCTGGGTCTTAAAAACCTCCAAGGATGGAGATTCCACCACATCTCTGGGTAACCTGTTCCAGTGTTTTACTGTCCTCTTGGTGAGAGTTTTTCCTAGTATTTAAACTAAACTTCCTTTGCTGCAACTGAACACAATTGCTCCTTGTTCTGTCACCTGCCAAAACAAGGAGTGTAACAGGGACTGATCTGTTCTGCATTTGTACAGCACCTTGCACCAGGAGAGGCCCCAGGCCCAGACTGGGGCCCTTGGGAGCCACCATAATACGAATCTGCATATGCGTTCATAGTGCTGTTTCCTCAGGGAAACTCCCTAGGGCTGTGATTCTCAGCCAGGGAACTTGGGCTGCCTTGAGATTGTTTTGGGAGTGCTGCAGGGTGCCACACATTTTAACACTATTAAGAGATTTCAAATAGGAATCTAAAGTGTTAAAAGCCTTCTGACCTGTTGTGGGCTCTTTGAGTTATTTGTGACAGAAGAAATTGCTCTGTTATCTTTCTGTAAACAAAAGTCAAGTGAAAACTAAGAGCTGGTATTTTTCCAGTGGTGTCTTGAGTATAAATAGCTTGAGAACTGCTGGTCTAGGAGCTGGCAACCTGTGGCATCCCACAGGAGCCCCACTCATGCTGAAGAGTTAGGATCGTTGTGCATCAAAAGGTCCCAAGCCCTAAAGGAGGTGCAAGGTCCCTGTGTGGTCCTGGGGGTGGAGCACAGCTTGTGCTTCAGGGATGGCAAACACCAATGACTGTAGGTACCTGCTAGCCACCTTTCCCTGCTTCCCTCACTCCCTCTTCTGGTTTTTTGGTGGAACTGGGAGAGTTGCTACCCTCTTCCAGGACAGTATGCAGAAGTGTTTGTCCAGAGACTATCCTCTTTCCCAGCAGCTAGCATACACGCAGCCAGTGTGCTGGTGCTGGCTGCCTGGGGGTGACCCACTGCTTTGAAGGCCATTATCTACCATCATCTTTCTAGATACCATGTGACACCTTGGTGGTTTGTTGATGGATGCTATGTGACACCTTGGTGCTTTGTGTTGTCAGTCTTGCTTCCAAAGGTCTCTTCCTCCCTTCAGAGACCTTGGGTCTGGCTTGGCCCTGGTGTAGGAAAGTGCATTTCCTGCTGACTTTGGTGAGCATTGGCCCAGCTTGGGGCAGGGTTCTCTTGGCCCCTTTCCACAAATGGCTTCTCTGCCCTGCAGGGCATGCTCTGCTTCTTGTGTTAGCACAAGTTTCCCTTCCCCCATTCCTGACCGAGGTGAGCAGATGGAGGTTGGGTTTGCTTTTGCTTTTGCGTGGGTGTCTGGAGAGATCCTAGGTCTTGAGCTTGTGCTTGTTCTGAGGCAGAGCACAAATGCGATCACTCCGGTTCCATGGGACCCCCCAGCTCCTACGGCTGCCTCTAGGCTGCCTTTACTTGCAGCCGTCTGTGTGCTGAGCAGGGCCCTGGGGAGATGCACCCCAGGGGTCAGCCTGCTCCAGGGAGAAGCCACAGGCTGGTAAACAAATTCACCTGCAAGGTGAGAGGCTTAACCCCTTGTGAGCTGCACTGCAGTGTGGCCCTGGGGCAGCCGTGCCTCTTAAAGTGCGTTACAGTAACTTACCTGCACAGGTGCCACCTGGCTGGAGATGTCAGCCAGCTAAGGATTTCCAGGAGTGTTGGTTTGCTGGGCAGAATGGGAGTGAATCCGACGAGCCACATGATCCTGTGCGCTCTGTCTTGGCAGTTCATGTAGAGCACAGCCAGCCTCCCTCCCCTTCCCCCACCAGTCTACCTGACTGCAGGCTCTGAGCGCCCACTCAGCAGTCTGGGAGCTAGCCTTAGCCTTTCACTGCTGGAGCCTTTGGCCTCAGCTTCAGATACCTCTTTTGTACAAGAAGGGAGGTGGCTCTGCTCTTGGGTGGTGGCCAAGCTCTGGGAAGTGAAACTCAGAGTTTTCCCTTCCCCAAGGGTTTTGGTGAATCAGGGTGCTGATAAAAGGGGTCAATGACTGAGGTTGCAACCAGGGGGTTGAACCAGCTTCACCCCAGTCTCAGCCCACAGCCCCTGCCAATGTGTCCTGGTTCCCCAGCACTCCCTATGCTTCCATCCCCCATCTCGCATACACACAGGTCTGCAACTGCGCCTCATCCCAACGTGCAGCCCTCTGCGCCCTTGTTGCTTCCCTCCCAGTCTCTTCCTGAGAAGAATTGGTCCTCTGGCCTGCAAGATATTTTGGTAACTGGGTAGAACTGTAGCTGGGCTGAGACTTGCCCAATTCATTTCACCCGTGACTCTAAGTTGGATCAGAACCCCCAGACGAGGAACTGTGGCTTTTGCCCTGGACGTCGCTTGGCTCCACCAGGCGTCAGCTGCCTTTTCCCACAGCACCACTCCTGTAATCCCTGAAACACTCTGCATAATTGTGACTCCAGAGCAGATGCTCCTGCTGTCTAGTGGAGAAGGGCCAAAAATATTCAGTTACTTGGGGAATTGTGGATCACTGATGCTGCTGCCCTGGGGGAGACCTCAGTCATTCTCCTGATGAGTTAGAACATAATGTACTTCTGTTATGTTGGGACCTGAAGACCAACATAAGTGGGGTGTGGCTGCATCCCTAGGTGAGGTCCCATGGCTTTTGCTCTTGTTTTGGACTGTAGGTTCCCTCTGGGCTCAGTGGGTGACAACCAGGAATGATTTGATGACTTTCTGTGCTTTAAAGTGAGGACAGGTCAGTTCAGGGGTGGCCTGACCCCCTCTTTCCCCTCCTACAAAAGGTTCAGCCTTAGGGCAGCTGAATCCAACTTAACATCCCCTGAAAGCCAGACCACTTGTGTGTGCCAGGAGCTGGGCTCTCAGCACAAAAGATGAAGCCAAAATTAGAAATCACATGTGAAATGTGGACATTTCCCTTCTTTGTGCCTCATTTTCCATACTTTTAAGATCAGGGTCAGACCTGGATGAAACCATTCCCACAAGAACACCCTGGGGATCAGTTTATGTCTGCAAAGGCCTCAAGAATATAAATGATATTACTTATTGTTTGACAGTATTTTTTCCATGTTTCATTTCCGCCTTCTCCTGCAATAACACCCTCGCTTGCAGGTGTCCCTTTCATCCAGAGCTCCTCTATTCCTGGATCAATATTTGTGTCATGGGCAGAAAACTCATCATTCACCCTGCTCCAGACAGCACATGGGCTTCAGCCTATTATTGCCAAAATTTAATTAATGGAGACTAAACACTCAGAGCCATCAGCTCCTCCCCTACACCCAGGGCACAGTTTATTAGCTTCTGTAATTTTACAGAGGGGATTTGGCCACGCATAGGAAACACAAAGCAATGGAAACTCCAGCCACACCCCTGAAGCAGCTGGCTGCTCTGCTCTCTTCCCAGCCATGCAGCTGGAGTCCCCAGGGGCAGACGAGCTTTCATGCTTTGCCAGGCTCAGGGTAAAGACTGGGGCTACACTAGTGACGGGAAGCACTCAGCCAAAGTGAAGGGAGAGGGGAGGCTCATCTGTCAGAGCTTTGGCCACCAGACATTCCTACCTGCTGCTCCTCTTCTGTATCCATCCAGTTCTAATGTTTTCTAGCCCTGACCTATAGCCCCCTCCTGCGACTCCTGTCTTGGGTTCCCATCCTGCAGCCTACCAGTGCTGAGTTGGTCCCTGACATTTACACAGCTCGAGAGGAGGAAGCAGCTGCTTTTGCCTTTCTGGCCCTCTCATGTGCAGCCTGCTGGGGCTCATCTGTCTGTGGGAACTGAGCTAAGCCCAGCTATGTTTACTTCCCAGAGGGCACCTGCCAGCCCAGCTTGGCTAGATCGGGCTCAGCATTCTCTGAAAATCAGGGCACTGGAGGTCCTTGGATTGGGTGCCCAGAAGTCAGTGCGCCCTTAGACAAGAAGGGGTGTCAGAGCACCACAGGAGATGATTGATGGATTTCTGTGGGCTTTAGATCAGGCCCTATGTGACCTACTGAAAATGGTCTGGGTAGCTAAGCTAGGCTCGGGCTGCCGGAGTCCCTGGCTTATAGTCCCATGGTTAGACCAAGCCTCAGTCTTGCTACAGTCTTAGGGCCAGGCCCCTAATAGGTAAGGTCCTCTGATTAAGGAAGCTGCAGGGGGAAGTTGGCTTGCAGGTGTTAGCACAATAGCCCCTTCCTGCACCCACCATCTACATGCTTGTGGTGTTGTGGTTTCTAAGCAGGGGTGGAAGGAAGTCTTCCTCTGTCCTTCAGCCAGCTGCTCAGATAGCAGTGCTGCCTTGTACCAGATGTCTGTGATAGCAAGCAGCACCCACATGTGTAATGACGAGGCTTGAAGGACACAGCAGCTGCAGGGATGATAGCATTTGTTTTTGGCAGGAGCAAGAAGGAAGATAGAGTTGCTGGGCTCCCAGGCAGCCTGCACCCAGTCTCCAAGCAGTGGGAGCCAGGCTGGCAAGATGATGATGCTGGAACCCTCTGGGAAGAAGGAACTGTTCTGTGCCTAGGCCTGCTCTGTGGCTAGGACAGCGGTGAGCCCAGTTATCAGTTCCTCTGCACTTGCATGGGGTGTGGCCCAGCCATCGTGCTCCGGGGGGAGTGCTCTAGGGATGTGCAAGTACCTGCTTGGTCTTAGAATAAGTCACAGCAGCCTTGGGGCTATTATAAAGAGTTTTCTACACCTTCTGGGAATCAGGGGCTAGGACATACCTCCGGTCAGTAAGCTCCTGGATCCTGGGCTCCTGGCCCATACCTCCAGTGAGCTAGCCCACGAGGTGGGGAACAGGGTAGGGTAAAATCCTTACTATACTTCTGCCAGTGGAGGAGGGGAGTGGGGACTGTGATGACCTTTAAGTCATCTTCTGCTGTCAGGCTTCATATGCCACCTCATCCTTTTGCCTGAGTCAGGGCCAAGTCTTGTAGAAATCATTGGGAGCTGAGTGAGGCCAGTGCTGCATGCTGTGAGTCCCTTCTGAAGTGCCAGGGTGGAGATGTTATTCTTGTATCTGGTTATCAGCCCAAATTCTGCTCATGCAAAATCTGGTCCCAAAAAGTCTGCAAAACCCTGTCCCCTCCTTAAATTCACCAAATAAAGTCTAAGGCAAAGGATGGGTCAGAAATACCAGGAGAGAGCCCCTGCCCTACAAAAGCATTTAGTGCAGTAGAAATGGGGAGCCCTTTGGCTTGAGCACAAGGCAGCATGTTTATAGACCCCACAGTGCCTGTGCTTGCCCTAAGCATCCATGCCTTCAGAGGCTGAAAGGGCTTATTGCAGTGCTCTTGAGTGACCCCCTGTGGGCTGTAGGCCAGAGACATCCTCCCAGTGACTTCTGGCCTGAAGCCCAACTGTGTGTGATGCAACGAGTTTGTTGAGTCCAGCATGAAAGCATTCTGCTGGCCCATGTGGACACTTATGCTTTTGAGGGATAAGGTCCCTAGATGTACTTCTTTGAGGTCCTGAATCTGCACCAGGCTACTGGGCCAGTTTCTGGGTGCCTGCATGAAATCTGGTGGCGGCATGCTCAGGAGATGGGCCTGTGACCAGCAAATTTTGCCCATAAGTTTTGGCGTATTAATTTTGTTGTAATGTTGCTGTAACCAAAGCAACATTATGTTATCTGCTCCTGGGTGGAACTTGCTGTGGAGTATACAGATACAGACAAGCTGAGATCTAGTGCAGGGGGTATGTGAAATTGGTGGTTTCCTGTTTGCTTTGTCCTGGTTTTTATCTCCATCGTGTAGAACACACTGAAGCATCATTTGACCGGGGGCTACGCATAGATCTCCCCAGCTAGGTCCTGTTCCTCATAGGTTTCCTCCTTCCACTGGTTGATGTACCTTTGACAATTCATTGTGTTGTGTGTCTTGTATTGAATCCTTCATGTGGCATGTGCTGCTTGTTTGCACAGATACATGGTGGCCAGCAGCCCTAGCCCCTCTGGTGGTAGTTAGGGCTCTTCATAACCCTGGGTGCCAATTGAAAATGGGTTCTGGCTGTTGATTTGCTGTTGGGAATCGGACTCAGTGGCCCTCAAGTGCCTTTGGGGCTTGTGCTCTCTGGCAGGGTTATAACCTTCTCCCTTGCAGCTCCCACTTTCTGCTATAGCCTTACTGTGTCTCTCCTTTCAGCCCTCACTTTGCTGTGAAAGGATCATACCTTCCCCCACCCAGAACTCCTCATGTCTCCTTCCACTGTCTTTAATTGCCTCTGCATAACTTTGGACTGGGGCGCAGGGTGTTTAAGACTGTACAAAATAAAGGCCTGATTTTGTGATGTGGTTGGTCCCAGGCAGGCCCCTGCAGGCACAGGTTACCCCACTCCACTCTGAGGGATCAGTCCAGCATGCAAAGCCTTTCGCCACTAAGTCTTAGCAGGATCCAGATGTAACAGGGCATGTTAAGGCAATGTTATACTGCAGGATTTGTCCAAACAAGGTTTCAGCAATGGCTTCACTTAGAAAACTTGGTTCATCTTTGCCTGTAAAATGCCCAGCTGGCTTTTCCCAGGGTAGTCACAGGAAGCAAGTCATCCACCTGTCCTGGTTGTACCAAATGTACTACAGGAGCTGCAAACCTCTCCTGCATTCAGCACTGTATCTCAGCTGCAAATGGATTTAGCTACAGTGCAAGAATGTCGTCTGTTACTTAACATGTATCAAGAATGTCATTTGTACCACATGGAGGTGGTGGGACCTGCCTAAGGTTTTTCAGCAAGCTAGGGGCAGTGTCAGGAACCTAACCCAGAGTTGGCAGTCTTAACTAGAAGATTGTGCTCTGTCTTGGGCTGCTCTTGGTTGAGTAGTGAGGCAGGGAGAGGTGGGTAAATGGGGAAATTGCATGGAGTTTTCCTACAAGCTGCTTACTCAGGAGAACAACAGAGCCCTGATGTGACTCTCGGTTCAGTTTCAGGTCTGCCTGGCTTCTGTGGGAGCCAACATGAACGTGGGCACAGCTCACAGCGAGGTGAACCCCAACACCCGGGTTATGAACAGCCGGGGCATCTGGCTCTCCTATGTCCTGGGCATTGGCCTGTTGCATGTGGTCCTTCTGAGCATCCCCTTCTTCAGCGTCCCTGTGGTCTGGACTCTTACCAACATCATCCACAACATGGTAAGTGTTTGCCATGGCTGACTGGGCCACAGGCAAGCCATGATGGGGTTTGGTAGTCACATGGGTGGCTACTCCTTTACAGTGAATAAATTCCAGTAGAATTAAACCCCCCTCCCCTTCCAGAACCCCTGTGAACGTGGATGTGCTGAACTCCACACTTGTCCCCTTTTGCCTGTGGGTCATGAGTTCAAATCCAGCCCAGGTTAGTGAGTAGCCCCCAAATGCTTGGGTATTTGGCTCCTGTGTGAATTGATTTTTGGGGTCTTATTTCAGCAACTGAACTAGCTCCTGTCTGCAGCACAGGGCCCTTCCCTGCCCCTGCTGGCTTGGTCTAAAACCCTTCTCTCATTCTAGTGCTCATAGCAGAGCATCGTGGGATGAGAGCAGCTTGTGGGACTGATGTTTCTTAGCTGACATGGAGGCTTGGACTGGCAACCTCCAGGCTCTTTATACTTTTGAGCCGAAAGACCAAGGACCAGGAGCTGTAATGCTCTGGCCTCAGAGCATCTGGCATGGAGAGAGGTGGGCAGTGTAACAAACCTGTGGGTTATGTGCGTGGTGTTGTTGCCTCCACCTACATGTCAGCTGTACCAGGTGCAGAAGTAGAAAGGGTCTGTGCATCCCAGGGGAGTTTGCAGCACTGGGGATGGGAGGGTTTAGTTGATGACTCATGAACGGGCCAACTGGATGGGTCAGGAAGAGAGGAGCATGGGCAGCTTGGATAGGCATTTAGTTTTTTAGCTGTGTGTGTGACACCAGTGGTGTGGTGCCAGTGCATAATGCACAAGGAACATGCGTGACAGTAGGGAAGTGGTTCCTTTCCCAGGCAGTTGTGAGACCATCTGGGAGTGGGGACCTGGGACCTGCCTGCCTCAGTTGCAAGGATGCTGCTGTGCATGTGCAGGTTGTGGGCACATGGCTGCCCTCTGCTGGGACACAACAAAACCACAGCCATTCCCTGCCATCTCCTTTGTTCCTCTGGCTCAGAGGAATCCCCTTTGCACGTTGCTGCTGATGACTTGCTTTCCCCTCAGCCCCTCCCCAACACAGCCCTGGCATGTGGTTCTTCCCAAGCAAGGCTGCAACCTCCCCGCAGCAGCTCCTGAGTCCAAGGTCAGACATTACCTCAGCACAGATGCGGTCCCCAGTAGTCACGTGTGCCTGTCAGTTCAAATGACTTTGCAGGTTGTGATTAATCAGGGTCAGAAATCGACCCCCAGGCAGGGACCCCAGTGCCCCCTCCCATAAATCTCCAGGCTGATGGCAGATGGGCTCAGCTCTGCTCTGCTCTTGTGCCGATCCTACTTCTCCCATTACAACTCAGAAGCAGGAAGGCTTTGAATGCAGCAGTAGCACTCGCTTGTGAACAACAACAGCCACAGACCTGCTACTGGTGCCCCACAGCATGTGGTGCCAAACAGCACATGGAGCGTTGTTCCAAGAATATGCTGCCTTCTGGCTCCTCTCACACACCTTGTCTTGGCAGACTAAGCCCTCTGCCATCCTCCAACAGCTCTGTGCAAAAGGAGTCACCATTCATCTCATTTTATAGATGGGGAGACTGAGGCACTGAGCCATGAAATCACTTCCCTGGTTCACCACTAACCCTCAGTACAAAGCCTGGGTTCCCTGCTTTGCTTCCCTGACCTGCTTTTCTTCAGTGCCTTTTAGGTTGGTTTTTGAAGTATACCGCAAACAAGAGTAACTTAAATCTTCACATCCCCTCCCTGTGAACTCAGAATCACTGCGATCATGTTTTCCCCATTTTGCATTGGGGATGGTGGATATGCAAGGCGCACAGAGGTGAAATGCCTTTCTGGGATAGGCAGGGGAACAGAGCCCAGCAGAAGGAGCTACCAGCACCCCCTGCACTGATTGCCAACAGCCTCTGCATCCACCTCCAGTGCAGAGTTTTGGGCATTGTGATTCAGTTCATTGCCTTCTCAGGGCAGGAGGTGCATCTTGTGTTGTCTCTGGGTGTGCTTTATGCAGCAGGAAGGGGTTTGATACTGAAGTTCAGTTTCTATCTAGATGCATCTGTAGTGTTGGAGTCATGTAGCCATGACGGTCCAGGAAATGCGCAGGAGGAAAGGATTGTTGTGGGTGGTATCTTTTATTGAACCAACTGCACAGCTGCTGTCATCTTAGACCATTTTTTGAATGACTTGGAGAAGAGAGTGCTGCATTCAGAAGCTTGTCTACGTCTATCCCAGCCATGCAGTTGGTACAGTAAAAGATCACCCACTAGAGTCCTTGCCTCGCATCTAGATGTATTGATATGACTATGCTCTGTACTGTGTGAGGTGACAGCCAGCATGCTTTCAGGTCTTTGGGTTTTCAGGTACAGACCTGGAAGCATGGGCTGGAGCAGCCTGACTTCTGAGCTGGGGCCCAAGCAATCTAACATCCCTCAAAATTAATTGCCAAAACAGAGCCTGCCTTGCCAGCAGATGGTGACAGTGCCTAGTGGCCAAGAAGCAAGGATTTCTTGGGGTGGTATCTTTTATTGGACCAACTATGTAGTTGTGATAAAGTTAGACAAGGTTTCAATTGTAAGGCATTCTTCCTCGGGGATCAAAGTATATAAAAAGGGGGATGGCGGGGTGGTCAGTCTCAGATTTCTTGTGTGGAAATGTGCTCCTAATGGTGAATGAACTCTCACAGAAAAAATATAAAGGATGGAGACATACACTCCCCATTAGGAACACGTTCCTCACAGAACAACTCCATGTCTGACCTCGCTATCCTCTTGCTCAAGGGAAATCTATCTAACACCTTTAAAAGGCAAACTTGGGAACAGAAATACATAAGCTGGCTGGACACTAAAAACCAAGGACTAAACAGTGATATTGGATTTATAGCCCATTATAATTTACCAAACTCCTAAAGAAAGGTGAAACTGTCCCCCCCATCCCATTCCCCCTTTTGATAGGCCTTGATTTCCCAGAACTCTGTTTCTTTTTTTCTGCTAATTGTGCCTGCTACCTCTGAGAATTTCTCTTGGGCCTTTCCATACACTGTGCTTACCTTGCTATGCCTAGCTTCCTATAATTGATACCTTAGAAAGAATGTCCTATAATGTTAGACAAGCTTTTGAATGTCCCAACTACGCAGTTGGTCCAGTAAAAGGATATCGCCCTAAGAAATCCTTGCCTTGCATAATTTCTGGACCATCACGGCTACAACTTCATTCTTACACTACCCTAGTGGCCAAGTCATTCACTTCAGCTTGGCCATTTGAGGCCTTTTCCAGATGAATGCTTTGCAGGCTGCTGGTCTGGGGAGTCACACACATGCTTTACCCTCTGCCTGTGTTTGCTACAGAGCATGTACATCTTCCTGCACACGGTGAAAGGAACCCCCTTCGAGACACCGGATCAGGGGAAGGCCCGGCTGCTCACTCACTGGGAGCAGATGGACTACGGCGTGCAGTTCACAGCATCACGCAAGTTCCTCACCATCATGCCCATTGTGCTGTGAGTACTTCCAGTTGTCCTGCTGGACATAGCCCAGCCCAGCTCATCTTAGTTATCCTCTTGCAGGCGCTGCCTCAGCAAACCAATGCCCTCTCCTGGCTTTCAGAATATCTCTGGCTTGTGTTTGCAGCCTTTGGGACAAGGAGTGAGAGAGCTCCTGGGAATGTGGCAAAATCTCAATGGTGCCCAGTGTTTTGTGGTATCTGCCAGATTTGCAGCCCAGCTTTGTACTGTAATCTGTTGGTTACATTTGGAGGTGGGAGAAACTCTTCCGTTAAAGGAATGGGAGAGGCTGTAGCAGAAGCAACAAGTGGTCCATCTCTCAATGTCCTTGGGGGTAACAGCACTGATTAAAGAGGTGGGCAGTTGTATTTCAACTTCCCCCCCCATCCCTCTTTCTCTCTCCCTCCCTCCCTCCTCCCAGGTACTTCCTAACCAGCTTCTACACAAAATATGACCGGATACACTTCATAATCAACACCATCTCCCTCATGAGCGTCCTGATCCCCAAACTGCCGCAGCTTCATGGTGTCCGCATCTTCGGGATCAACAAATACTAAGCTTCATGGATGAAGTGAGCTGGCAGGGAGGGGGGCAGAAATCCTTTCTCTTTAGTCCCGTTTTTCCTCCGTGCCACACTGGGATACAATTTCACGACAGCTGTTTAAATGCAGTATCCAGTAGACTTGTATACCGCATGCGGGATCCTCATGCCCAGTCAGTCTAAGCAGGCTCCAGAGTAGCAGAATCCTGAGTAGAGTTTAGCATGGAGCTGGAGGTCATGGGCTAGACTTATTTTACTCCAATATCACACATAGATGCAGGTGTGCTGAGACTTCAAGGTACAAATAGGTTCATTTGTGGGGAGGTTTCCATCCAGCCTGTACACTAACTGGAGAGAGTGGCAAGGTGGGAGAATGCCATAAGAGCTGGTACTTATTGCTCTGGCAAATGCACTTTAAAATATACCTTCCCTTTTTGAGGCTGGACACCCTCACAAAGGGCTATGTGGGGAAATTAAAGAGGATGTGGACGGATTTCCCAGCTAGCTGGTCACTTGAATTTTGTGGGGTAGAGTTTATTTTTTAAACTTCTCTGCTGTCACTGGGAAATGAACTGCTTTTCTAATAAGAAAACAGGAAGGTGCTACCTCGTGTTTTGGGCAAGACTTTCCTGTTTTCCATGGCACATTTTAATACAATCCATTGGGGGGGGGGGGAGTTGGCAGATCCCAAATCCCCTTTGAGGTCCCATTCATTCCTGTTACTTCAAGCTGTTACCAATGTCTGTCTGTCTGGGCATTTTTCTGAGGGGCAGTGGCTGTATTTTAGAATGTGGGGTGGGAGGTTCTGCCTCATCTCATGGGCCCCTTCCCAGCAATAACCCCATGCAGCACGTGGAGGAAGTGTTTAAGTCCTCTTTTGGTTTGTTGGAAAGTGTTACTATTGCCTGAGCTATTGATGTGGAGATTGGGACTAAGTGAGGGAGGCTGAGGACTGACGCGTGGACTCTAGCAAGCAACTGGTTGTTGCTTGGTAGTGGGCATGCTGGTACAAACAGGGATGTAGGAATGGTTGGAGTTGAATGACCTCCTCCTCCTCTCACCCCAACCTCTTGCCCACCTCTTGTGTCTGCATAGATCAGTGGGATTTGCTAAATCCCTAGCTCTGGGAACAAAGTTCCATGCATGATGTCACATGCTAAAAAGTTTTGTGAATTCTGATTGGGCCTGGAGACCTGTCAGTTATTGGCCCCAGTGACTTCTAGCCTGGATGTTGTAGCATTATTCCCACGGGCTCCAGAACAGCCATTAGCAAGGTTAACAGAGCTGTGGGACAAATGGCAACAGGCCTAACAGGTCACTGTAGCTCTTAATTTGTGCCGGCAGCATAGGAAATCCCAGGTGGGCAGTGTGCTTACGGTGGTGAAAGTACATCTATATGTCACCTAAAGCCCATCTTTTTCCCTGCTTCCATTTTGCACCCAGATCACAGCTAGAGTTGACCATCACCCATCTATTCCTGGACAGCAAAGATTGTTAGTGTGTAGTAGGTTGAGTGGTATGCTTTGCCTTTGTTTCTTGTGCAGACTGAAAGCCCCCGCTTGCTTGCCCTTGACCTAGTGGGTCGATTTCAGAGGGGCGGGGGGAGTTGCATGTCAGTGGGTACAAGTCCTACATCAAGAAAAGGGGTAGGGGGGCAATGGGGCTGTAGCAGGAAAAGCAGTTTGTGGGGAGCAGGTCATTGCATAAAGTGTTGCTGGATAAAAGATCAGGGGTTGCTGATCAACCAGTCTCTTGGCTTCAGACTCTCACTTTGCTTTTATTCATGCACTGTGAGCTCATTCCAGGAGGTCTGAGGGAATAATTGTTTTCTGCACTTCGGATTATTAGGATGAAGAAGGGGCAACTGAAGAAATGCCCTGCCCCTCCTTTCCTTCTTCCCCCAAGCTCAACTGGGTGATGTGCATCTGGTATGGGGTGCTCTGACATGCAGGCGAGCAGTTTTCTGTACCCTCAGAAGCTAGTTTGAGGGGATTGGGTTATTTCTAATTTCAATCACACTCTGCGGTAGAACCCCAGTAATCCCTGCGTGGAGAGGGACTGCTGAAGAAAAGTTCTTATAATCAAGGTCTGGGATAAACGTGGGGCTTACTGTGATGTAAGAGATGAAGGTGCTTTGGCTGTGATGGTGAGGTAGGGCTACCCAGGGATGCAGCACAGTAGCAAAACTGAACTTCCTTCCTCACCAAATTGGTGCTCTCTGCTCACAGCAGGTATAGCTCTGGCTGGCTAGAGTAGACTTCCAGTGTTCCTAAAGCAACAGTTTACTAGAAGATCATGTGCTGACTGCAGTAGACTTTTGTTTTTATTTCTCATGCTTCTTTTGTGTACTAATGGTGATTTTTTGTTGTGTTTCCGAGAGCTCTAGTTGTCTCAAGGTTTTGGTGGTGATGCTGTAAACACTCAAGATATTTTAGTTCATGTGTTAGTTGAGTGTTGCTTTAGAAATGAGTAGGTGATACAGTGGATACTGACAAATATAGACCAGATCTAATGGTCAAAGCACAGGAGTGGGAGTTAGGGACTCCTGCGCTCAAATCCCAGCTCTTCTACTACTGCTCATGTGGTTTGGGGTGAGTCGTTTAACCTCTCTGCCTTGGTTTCATTATCTACTCTGCAGAGGAGAGGGGAATAACACTTTACCTACCTCACAGACCTGTTGTGAGGCTTCTTGTCTCTAGAGTGCCTCACAGTTAGAAATTATGCTTTAAATATTAATGAAGAGGAAGACGGCAAAAAGTGAACCTGATCTGGGTTCTTAAACTTTCACCTTTTAAAAAGGGAGGCTGACAAATGCAGAAAGTTAATTTGATACAAGACTTCCCCCGTCCTTTGTGACAGAGGATTGCTGCTTTGGTTAAGATACCACATACCCCTGCAGCTAGTACACTTTTTCATGCTATTAGTCAATAGCGTCTTGAAAAACAGTTGCTTCAGTCTAGTGCTGTTTTTGTTCAAGGGCTGATGAGTACCTCTGAGCTGGTCCTGAAATTAATGTTATGGATAAGTGTCTGAAATGCCAATGGTAAGACTGCTGACTTCACCTTTGTGGTAACGATGCTTTCACGTAGGCAAATGGGGCAACTTATGTAGCCTGAAGGATACATTATTGGAGAAATCTATATATCCAGTAGCTCATGGGGAGCTGTCATGTATTTGGACAGAATGCCACCTCCACTTAGGTTTCTAACTTATGATTTTAATGGCTGGAATTTTCATAGAAAGTGGGGCAGGAAACCACAGAACTACTTTGTTTGACAAAAAATAAAAAAATCAAGGGCTTTTTTGCTTTAAAGCATGATTCCCATATTGACATCTGTTCTTTTTGTTTTTCTCTTTGTGGTATGTGTAAACCATGCCAAGGCAGAGTGATTTCTATTTTTAGAGCAGAATCATAAAGTGTTGGTAGAGGCCAGATTCTGGCATGGTGTAAAGCAGAGCTCTCCAGCTTGCAACCTGTAGGCTGCATGTGGCCCTCCCAATGGGTCAATTTGCAGCCCCTAAGCTTTGCTTCTTCCCCATCGCTCCAACTGCTGCTGCCACCAGAGTCTCTGGGCTTCCACTCTTCCCTCCAACTTCCACTTACTGCCCCTGCAAGTGATGCCACGATGTGGGGGGGGGGCCTTTGGGGCATAGCAGGAGGGTTGCCTATGCAGTACAGCATAGTGGGGTGGGGAGGGTGCTGGCATCTGCCCTACATGTCACCCTTGGCCATTCTGAATTGGACAGCTCTGGTGTAAGGCAGTATAGTTCCACCCAAAGCAAGGAAGCTCTGAAAATTTATGCTAGCTAAGGACCTGGTCACAGACAAATTGTAGCATGAATTAAAACTAGTATAGTAACACTTAATGAGTAGTGTTTAAGGATGAAGTGTAAAGATATCCAGAATAAAACAATGAACTTTTCAAAGGGGCATTTTGAAATCCAAAGTGCAGGGTTTTTTTAATTGGTTGTTAAAGCCTTAATAGATAAGTTTAATAACATATTTCTTTTGGGGGATTAAAATATTCACCAACAAGCCAAATGTCACATTCTGGTCACAGTGCATCTGAACCCAGAACTGTGGTATGGACATCCCCTTAGATAACCTAGAACCCTGAATTGAAGCTGCTCATATAAGTTAAGACTGGGGATGAAGGACAGCAGAGATGGCAGCTCAGAATCGGATGACAAATGAGGAAGGGCCAGTCTTGCCATGGAGAGTCAAAGAAAGTAGCAAAAAGTGCTGAAGAAACTCCTGTGTGATGAAAAACCATATTTGGGGGGAGAGCACCTACAAGTCTCCTAGATCAGAACATCTGTCTGTAGTTTAGAATTATTGGACATTTAAATATACCTGCATCCACTGTGGTGATAATCCCTAAGGGAAAATCCTCTCTTTCGCCTTGTTTGGGCCTTTGCATTTCTACCTATTCATGAAGCCTCTCTAACCAGGAATTGAATTTCCCAAGCACTTAATAGCAAGTTAGACAACTGACTCTTCACGCCTTGGAATGGGTCTTACATGGCACTTGGACAAATCTCACCCTATGCCCTGTGCTGGCTTTCTGCATAGTGATAGGGGTGAAGTTCAGCTGAATAAGGAACAAAAGCTGTGCTTCATAATGTGACTAAGTAGCAAGGAGGAGGAGACATGGCTACCGCAAGTGCTTCTCATTTTAATTCTGCATTGAACACTAAGGCAGAGACACCAGGGTTTTTAAATACTGGTACATACATGGCATTGGCCTGGCAAAAGCTGTTCCTCTTGCCTGCTGCTGTGGTATCTTTTTCATCAGTTACTGTGAGGGCTTCATACTTGTCCACAGAGCACAGGACAATAGAACGCCACTGGCTTAACGTGACTGGGGGTAAAACCCAACCCTGTAATCAGGTTCAAACAGCTGGATTTCTTTCAAGGCACTATAGAACCCTTCTGCACAGATCTGACTGCAGGATCAGTGCTGCCTTCTTATTTCAGATCCAGGGCTACTTAGTCTGTGAGGGTTTATTTTAAGAACAATTGAGCAGGTTGTAAACAATAATTTTTATATAAAATACGGTACTGGTCCCTGAAGAAGGGGTAACAGCTGGGTTGCATTTTTAGCACACATTCACTCTCATATGATTTATATTGCTTTGATTTACAATATATATTTTAAGTGTGCGTGTGCATAATAAACCCTTTGGGTCAACTTCAGTGAGCTACATCAATTTTTTATGCAGCATTCTTGCATTGTACATAGACTTGCAGTTGTGTTTTTTGTTTTTTTTCCGAGTTGCCCTTTCTCCTCGTGTATACAAAAGTCTTTCATCTAGAGAACTTTCTAAGACAAAGTGTGAATATTTTTATTACTCCTTTGTACAGTATTCTAAGAGAAACTAATAAAGGTCAGTATTCATGTAAAGTCCTGTGTTTAGCTCTGTGTGTGTGTGTCTAGATTTTGCTATTAAAACAATATTGTAAACATGGAAAAACTAAGTGGAAGGCTAATGATTACCCCACAACAACTGCATACCCACTCTGATAGCCTACCTGATTTTCATTTTTCCCATGCCTTAGCAGGCAAAGGCATAACCAGATAGAATGGCTAGAAGATTAAACATGCAAAATTCAGGCTAAAGTGCACATTTTAATTGGTATGGAAAATTTAACTCTTGGAACCAGATCAGCAAAAGATGTGGTAGCCTCTCCATCACTTGAAACCACCAGATGGAGAGTGCATGCATCTATGATCTAGTTCAGTGGCAAACTATTGAGGGAGTTGCTGAAATTGGTGGGTAAAATTCTGCCTTGTGATCTGCAAGAGGTCAGACAAATTGATCAGAATACTTGCCTTCTGGCCTTAACATTTATGCATACAGAGGTGATTGTACAGAGGAGGAACAGACATTTGTAGAGTCCTTGTTACCTGCCCAATACTTGTGTTTGCCAGTGTGCAGCTTGAAATGTTTGTCTTCTGCTTCCTAGAAGTCTGGCTGATTTATTCAAAAGAAATTTTCAGGTGCTCAAAGTGACTCTTCTCTGCAAAAGAAACTCTCAGCCTATGATAAATACAGGTGGGGCCTTTGCTGCACCTGCATACCCTGGTTGACCTATCCTATTGAAGAATGCTTTGGAGGACAGATAAGCTTGTTGTAACAGCACTTGAGTGTTGGCAGGCTAAGGAAGCAAGTAGATTCCACAGCTACTGACAACACCTTACTGCCAGCTTGCTCCTGTTTAAGCTGGAAGATGAAGAGCCAGTTCAAGGGCCTTAGAAGACTACAGCTGCTATGGCAATATGTTGAAGGAGGACAGGGCAGTCCTGAGATGCAAGTGTCCCAAGCACTTAAAATGCTTGCGGCTTATAAATTCAGCAGTTTGCACTGCCCCTGGAAATGAATCTGGTATTCTTGCAGGCTGTAGATACACAACTGTAGGAGGAGGGAGGACTACAGTGCATGTAGCTATTCAGCTAGTCGTAAGGGCAAATCTTTATAGTTTCATAGTTGTTAGGGGCTGGAAGGGGCCTTACACATCATCAGGTCCAGTCCCACTGCCCTTGGGCAGGAAAGACTGCTGGGATCGGATGACCCCAGCAAGATGGGCATCAAGATGTTTTTGAAGATCGCCAAGGTGGTTGACTGTACCATCTCTCAGGGGGAGCCTGTTCCAAACCCTCGGCACTCTACTTGTAAAGAAGTTTTTCCTTATGTCTAGCCCAAAGCGATCTTCAACCAGTTTGTGCCCATTATTTCTTGTCCTTCAAGGGGGGGCATAGTGAATAGATGCTCCCCCAAGCCCTGATGTATGCCCCTGATATACTTATAGGCTACCACCAAGTCCCCCCTGAGTCCTCTTTTCTCCAGGCTAAACAGTCCCAAGTCCTTCAGCTTCTCCTTGTATGACTTGTTCTCCAGGCCTCTAATGATGCGTGTGGCCCTCCTTTGGACTCTCTCGAGCTTCTCCACATCCTTCTTGAAGTGTGGTGCCCAGAACTGGATGCAGCACTCCAGTTGCGGTTTCACCAAGGCTGAGTAGAGTGGGAGGCTGACTTCCTTTGCCTTGCTCAAGATGCCTCCATGGATGCATGCCAGTGTTTGATTTGCTCCTCCCCTTGGAGAAGCCATACCAGTGACACAGAGCACTATCAGTGATTCTTCTGTGACTGTGCAACTGGCATCCTTCTGGTTTGCCTTTGATATGAAAGATGCTGAAAGCTGGAGAACTGAGTAATCTAGCGTAAGAAACAGCACTCCAGTACATTTTGAATCCAAGTTAACTAGGAGTTTAAATGCTGTACCTCTGTGCTTGGCTTAGCCAACTAGTGTGGAGGGAAGAGCTGGGATCTAGCACATTATGTGCAGTTCTGGTCTCTGCATCTCAAAAAGGATGCAGTAGAATCAGAAAACGTACAGAGAAGAGCAACCACTGTGATTAGGGCAATGGAGCAGTTGACATACCAGGAGAGACTAAAAAGGCTAAAACTCTTCAGTTTGGAAAGAAGACGGAGGTGGGGGTGGCTATGTTCGAGGTCTATAAACTCATGAAGGGTGTGGACCAAGTGAATAGAGAATTGTTGTTCACCAAGTCCCAGAATATTAGAACGAGGGCACACCTACTGAAATTAGTAGGAGACAAGTTTAGAACTAACAAGAACAAGTATTTTTAATATATAATACATAATTAACTTGTGGAATTCATTGCCACAGGAGGTGGGTGAGGAAGAGACCATAGCCAAGTTAAAAAAAGGGACGACTAGACAAATTCATAGATAATAGACCTATTAATAGCTGTTGAATAGAATGGTTGCAGATGTTTCCTCTGGCATCTCTAAACCAATAATGGTGGATGTCAGGGAGGGAAATGAGTAGGGAATATATCACTCTAGATCAGTGGCCTCCAACCTTTTTATGGTGAAGATCACTTTTTGTAAGTAAAGGGCACCCCAGGATCTAGCCTCCCCAACTCCGGCTCCAGCCCCCGCTTCAGCCCCTGGCCTCCCAGATAAGCCGTCCAGGCTCTAACCCCACTCACCCAGCCTGGCCTGGATGGCAGGGGGTATGGCTCAGCCCAGCCACATGCATCCTGCTGCTCCCAATCATGGAGCCTCTGACAGACTGAGATCAACTGTCAGAGGCTCCATGATCGACCAGTCGATCGAGATCAACTGGTTGATGACCACTGCTCTGGATCTATTTGGTTCAATGCTCTCCACTGCCACTGTCAAAGACAGAATACCGGGCTGGATGGACCATTGGTCTGACCCAATATGGCTCTTATGTTTTTACACTGATGCTACTATCTTCTTCTAAACCGATAATGTTTAAACAATATCCCCCGCTTACAGGAGAGGTCCTGCTCCAATTAATCTAGATACCTCCTGGCTTATGTTTTCTCATGTGTCAGTCTCCTAGTTCTGATCAATTGACTTCTGTTTTGTGGCTGCAAGAGACACATGCAGAAAACGTAAATTTGCCCCACCCGTCTGACCTAGGATTCTAGTTGCTTTGTGATCAAGCATCTCAACTGGGCTCCTGGTTGCAGCTATACTGGTCTTTGGCTGCCAGGAGGGAAAGGTGATGTGCAAGTAACAGGCTCCTGCCTCTTTCACTGGCTTTCTAGATAAAGGGTCACATTCTGGATCAGCAGAGCTGTAGTGCTGAATGCCCGTATTGGGATCTCAGTCTGTCCAGCCTGGATCTTGCTGCGAAGCCTGTGCATGTGTCTACAACTGAAGGCAGAACGAAGATAAAGACAATGCCAAGTGCTTCCCTATAGCGTTAGGAAGGTAGAGGGGTCAGGTCACTGCTGCATTTTCATTACTCACAAATAAGGTAAGTATGAAAAACTTAGCCTATAATAGCAAGTAAATAATAGACGGCAGATGGGGTTGTACTCAGAACAAAGACAAAATGAACACACCGATGCTGGTAAGTAACTTATGTGTGGAGGCTTTTACTGCTGGGATGGTGCAGAAGGAATGGTGAACAGGAGTCTCTCTCAAAGCTGAGCTGTGAAGCTC